CAACTCAACACAGGCATAAACACACACACATACACACATTAGCACAGGCTACGTGGTGACCCATGGAGTAGGCTTTGAATTTCCTCCTCCGCATTTTGCAGTTGCTTTGGTCACAAAGGCTGGTCTAACAGTTTAATCCCACAATGAGGTGGGACTTTTCATGTGGCTGCTGATTTGGAATTTGGCTCCAGGACATAAATCTGAAGATACATAGTGGGTAAAATACCCTACTTTCAACAGAAACCCGAAAACAAGGCCAGACACCTTCTCTGAGTTTATTACCCCAGCCCTCTACCACCCTCCATGCTGATTCCACAGGCTGAACACTGGACTCAGTGACCTTGAAAACATCCCTGCTCTTGTGAGCTGTCAACCAAGCCAGGTGAGGGGAGCTCTAGAAAAATCACTCAGGGGACTGGGGCATAGGAGCCAAGAGTCTCAGCAAGAGTCTCAGCAAGATAGGGCACACTCAGACTATGTGAACGAAGAGATTCTTTACAACGGTGTGGGCTGGCTTTTGGAGGGCTCCACGAAGAGAGGCACTGATGGTCATGTGGTCACAGCCAGAGAAGCAAGGACAGCAAGAAAGGGCTGTGGCAGTCCTGGGGAAGACACACTGGTCCCCTTCCTCCTCCCCACCTTGCCCAACACCCAGAGGAGAGAGGGACCCAAAGGAGGGGTGAGGAGGCACCCCCTAGCACTGGGAAGAGGAGGGGTGGGCATTAAATTAAGTAGGGACTGGAACCTTCAGGTGGAGTGAACTTTGTTACAAGTGACTCAACTATTTGGAGTTTACCATATAAACAGTTTATGGATGGGAAAGGGAAATTAGACATTAGGTAGGCAGGACTGATAGAAAAATAAAATAGCTGTGTCTGTGCCTGCCTGCATTCTCACTGTTCAGCAAACTGGAAAAAGAAGTATTAACAGTTTCATTTTACAGACAAAGAAATCGAATTTGTGCTCAAAAAGCTGGTGATAGCCGAGCTGGGACAGAACACTGCTCCTCCTACCTTGACTTCCCTGGGTCCCCCAACTCCTCCTTTCCCCAGAGCCACAACTTGGTAAGCCCGGATTCAGTGCAAGCTAAAGCCACATTTGGTAAAAACAGGACTGAACCGGGTGCTCCAGGTTCTCAAGATACACCCCCTTCCACCCACGTCCCCCAGGCCTCTTTCCAGCGAGCCCACCTGTGCTCCTCCAAGGTAAGCTCTCAGAAGGCACAGCTCAGTGCTGATGAGGGCAGCATCTAGTCTCCATGCTGACTGCTGTGTGGTCTTGGCCAAGGCACAGCTCTCTCTGGGCCTCTTGTCCCTCTAAGCAGCCAAACCATCCCTGGGGTCCCTGCCAGGAAGGAAAACGGATTCCAACCAGTCCTGTCTTCCAGGGGCCTCATGTGCTGCTTCACAACAGCCTTTGGGAGCTAACAGGGAAGCCATGTCAAGGTGGGGACGGCCAGGGAGTAGGGGCAGGGAAGATATTTTGGGGCAGGCGGATCTCCTGGTCACTGCTGAACAATGGCCCAGGGCAGCCATTGTGCTGGGAGTGGAAAATCCTTTTCTGACTCCATCTCCAACAGCTGAAAATAGTCCAGGGTGAGCCCTTGGGGACTGAGTCTGGGGCCATGACTGACTGGCCCAGCCCTGCCCATTGTTCCTGACTGGGACAGGGCTGAGACTGGACACCTGGCTGAACGGGAGCCAAGACGGAGGTAAGCTCAGGAAGCCTGTACTGGAGGAAGAGCAGCTGGGCAGAGCCAAGCCGCATGGCAGATGGGGAAACTGAGGCCCAGAGAGAAGGGATTCCCTAAGACATCTGCTGCACAGGGGAGAGGAGGAGAGCCTGGCTTCTGGAATTCAACTCCCCCCAACCACTTGCACATATTACTTGGCAAGGCAAACACCTCTCTCACCCTCCATCTGCAAGGGGCAGGGCCATTAAACAGTGGACCAGCTCTGCTCCAAGTTCCCATGGGCTGCCCATGGAGTTGCTTTTCCTGTCACTTGATGCCAGGGGAGAATTGCTGCTGACTCTAGTCCTCAGAACTGAGAGCCCAGGGGGTTGGGAGAATGCCTGGGGGAGCAACTGCTAGTTGTGCCTTTGCTGAAGAGCAAGGTGGCTGATGCCCTGAGGCAGGAGAACTGGGACTTGGGAGGCACGGGATCCAAGCTCCAGAGAGTGGCCCAGAGAGGGCAGGCAGCTAGCCTCCGGCCACACAGCGAAGTTGCCCATCTGTTGCTTGCTCTGGCCCAGCTCCCAGCTGGTCTGGGTCTCCGGGGTCTTGGCTGAACCAAGTAGTTGTTACAGCACCCCATAACGGCAACCATCACTTAGGGAAAAATGGCTAAGCCTGTTGCCATGGCGAGTGGGAGCACTCTGGACCACAGAGACCAGAATTTGGTATCAACGCCCTTCCTCCCCATCCCCCTCTTGCCTCTGCATGCTGCCCTCTCACAGCCTGGCAACAAGGTTCTACACATACACACGCACACACGCGCCCATGGACCTGATGGCCACCTAGAGCAGGACAGAGGGAGTTCCCACACCTTACCCCAGGGTAGACCTGCTTTCCTCCTGCTCCATCCTGGGAAGCCTTGGTCACGGGAGGCCCACTGTGGCTCACTGGCTGGACATTCCTCTCCTCCAATAATACATCCTAGCGTGGTTATACACTGTTATGTCAACTCTACGAGGGCAAGGTCCAGCCGCTTTGCCTGGCCTCACCTTGGCACTGTGCCAGCCGTGGAAATGCTTACCCAGTGCCTGGGACTGTTCGAAATGTTTCATGCGTTATCAATCCAATGTCCAGCATGGAGGGAGTATGTCCTTTCAGAAATGAGAAAACGGAGGCCTGGCAAGATTCAGTAACTTGCCCGAGGCGCCACAGCCGCAAGACACAGAGACCCCACTCAGGCAGCACTGGTAAGGGCTCCCCACCCCCACTACAACGCCCCTTCCAGCTCGAATCCCAGGAAGGGCTGCTTGCACATCCTCCTGCCCAGCAGCGGCTGCAAGCAGCCTGGGATGCCCGAAAGGGAACTAATCTATCTGATGGACCTAAGATTCCATCCTGACTCACCCCTGGCTGCCTGTATGACCTGGAGCAAGTCCTCACATCTCATGGCCTGTCTCCTCCTCTGCTAAATGGGGATGATAATGTCTATTTCACACAGTCATGGGGAAGAATAAATTAGAGCAACGAGAGGTGCCTGGGTCGTGAGTTAATACAGGAGTATCCTTCCTCATGAGCTTGACTCGGAACAGAAGAGCTCAAGTCTGCTGTGACAGGGTGGTGACAGAGGGGTAGCTCTGGGGGCCCTCCCTGCTGAGCCCTGGGATAGCTGCCCAACCTCCGCCTGGGGCAGAGACCCCTCACGTGCCAGGGCCCCTATCCTGGATGCACCAAGCTCACCGAGACTAGCCGCTGCAGGGAGGACAGCAGACCTTTACCTCCCCGCCCACTGCTCCCCTTCTCTTCTATGACCCAGGCCTCAGAGCTCAGTGCCACAGCTCCACCCACCAGCTCCATGTGGTGGGGGGAGGGGAGGGTGCTAAGGCAGCAGGGGTGATGACAGGAATCCCACTAAGGCATGGACCTGAACTAAAGGGAGCAGAGCAGCAGTAACAGCCTGAGTTGCTGGCACACATCCAGGCTCCATGCTGACCGACTGAGTGACCTTGGGTCAGGCCCCACCCCTCTCAAGTCTACAGCTGGGCTGGACAATCCCCAGGGTCCCCATCAGGTGACTATGCCCTTTCACAGTGGCCTCAAGAGTCAACAGCCCCAGGAAGTGATGTCAGGGCAAGGAGGTGGGGTGGCTGGGAGGGAGCAGGGAGGCCCAGTGAGTAAGAGGAGATATTTTGAGAGCAGGCAGGTCCCCCCACGTCACTACTGGACAATGGTCAGGGGCTGGGAGTGGAAAATCCTGCTCTCACTCCAGCTGAAAATAACACAAGGCAGGGGTCAGAACCTCACCCACTAGGTGGATGGTCTAGGCCCTGAGCAGCAACGACAGACGTCCACATCGAGGGGTCAGACAGTCTTACTGGTGTCCAGGAGTGGAACCCTGAGCCTGACCCTGGTTCCCTTAAAGTCTCTCTGCCTGCCCGCGCCCCCCCCCCATCCAGTGTCTGACACTGGATTAGATGGTGAGTAAGGCCCTCCTTTCCCAGGTCCTTTGTGCTGAGAATGTGCTGGTTCAAGGAAGACCTCCTGGGGCTAGGTCATAGTGTTAGCTCCATGTGCTGTAGGGCCCTGGGTTCTCAGGGTCTCCAGGACAGCCACTTGAGGAGTAGATAGGCAGAACATGAAAGGAATGGGGACTAAGGGTACTTGGGCCTGTGGTGACCACAGCCCTACCCCCAACCACAGATGCACACTCAGGAGCCCCCAGAATCATAGGGTACAACCTCCTGCCTCTGGGTCTAAGCAGGACTGAGGGAATCAGAGCCCAGCATTTACAATCTTAGGTGTAATCTTACCTGGGTATGGGGTTCAGCCTGAGCAGCAACTGGTAGGAAAGAGACAGGCTTGGGCCTGCAGGAAAGGCTCAAGGACAGTCTGCAAAAAATAGTCACAAAAAAGCTCACAGGGACTCTGGTCACATTAACAGAAGTATAGGACCTAGAATGTGGGAGGTGAGCATTTCACACTACTTTGAGCACATCACCACCATTGCAATCCAGAATAATTTTTCTGGGTCCTAGCTTTTGATGGGTTCCTGCTGCATCAGGGAGCTGTGGAGCTAGACTCAAACTCTTGAGGAAAGGGTGCTCTGTTCTGACAAAGTAGAGTGGGAAGGGTGAAGAAGTCATAAGAGGGAGGCAGAATTTGGGTGAGAAAAGAATCTTCTCTCAGGCAGAGTGGGCTGATGGGGCAAGGGGTGTCCCCGAGGAAGGGAGTGAGTCTTTACATTTGAGATTAAGAGTGATCAGCTTTGCCCTACCCCTGTCCTAAAGCTGAGCTGGGCCCTGTTTTGCTTTGCCCTACCCCTGTCCTATCAGCTTTGCCCTACCCCTGTCCTAAAGCTGAGCTGGGCCCTGTTCATCTGAGTTCTACAAATCTCCACAGTCATGCCGGGTGGACCCAGAATCTGTCACAGGTGAGAAAGATCTCCTTCAACCTAAGCCCTGACCCAGGCTAAGCACGAACTATTATGCCACATAGCTGGATTTTCCCAAGAGACAGAGGAATGGACAGGAAGAGAAATGAATCTCTCCCGAACTTAGTGCCTATGCGAAGGAAACCTCAGGGAAAGGCAAGGAGGGAGCCCTGTCTTGCTATCCTGGTGATCCAACCCCAGCCTCATTCCTGCTGTGAGCCTGGGCACCGACTGCCCGGCCTGCTTCCAGTTCCTGCATACCCTGCTTTCCTGTCCCCATGTCTTTGCCCAAGATGCACCCTGCACCTGGATGTTCTTCTCTGATGAACTGCTTTTCTCAGAAGCTACAGCCCAAGAGTGTCCCCCACTCCAGGCAGCCTCTCTGACCCAGTGGTCCACAGCCCCAACCACACAGCGTTATCGGTGGTGTGCTGGAGCCTCTTGGCTCTGCTTGCAAGAGCCAAGTGTTACATTCTCAGGAACTGTGAAAGGAGGTTGATGTCACATTAGTAGTCTGAAACTGGCCAAGGCAGGAGTATCTGCACCACTGCTGTTGGCAAGGCTACAAATAAAGGGTTCCCCTCACCCCCCTGGAGAACCAGTTAGATGGTTTAGCATTTACCAGCACATGACTGGTCATAGCCATTGAGCCCTAAAGTGGGGGGATCCCAAGGACAGGACCCCACCTGACTCCTGCCTGCTGAGGCAGCTAATGGGAGGACAGGTGGCAGAGGAGTACAGGCTGGAGAAAGGACCCCAATGTGGCTGGTGAGAGCTTCTTCGGCTGTACCGTCATCCTCAAACCACACAACAGGGCACAACACAGTAGGTAACAACCACATCAGTACAAGTTACAGCCTCAAACTGGCTCCCAGCCCAGGGGTGCCTCCAGCTGTGTTTCTGACATCAGTTCCCTGATGTTTCCATTCATCACTAAGGATGGGGCTCCTCCTCAGAGGAAAGAACCATCCAGACCTGCCCTAGACCCCTCTGCAGGAAGCTCTGGCTCAGTGCTAGCACCTTACCAGGGTCCTTTGGTCAGCCTGTAACCATGCCCCTCCCAGGTGGCTCAGGCCCAGACTGTGACCTTGGTAAGTCGCTTTCCCCTCTGGGCCCGGTTCTCCATTTGACTTGATCAGGCTTTGATCAAGCCTTGACCTGACCTGGCAGGCGCCGCCAGCTATCGTGTGCGAGCCAGGCCAGGGGCCTTACCCTTGCCTTTCTTGAAGCCTTATTCCCCAACTCACACACACAAATTGTGACAGGCATCCTAGGGACTGTTGAGATCTCTGGGCCACAGACAGCATGCTGAGCCCCTGCCAAATGACAGAGCACTGAGGTCACGACTCCCTTGACCATCAGGCATGAGTCACTAATGGGCCCTATCTAGGGAGAATATCCCATCTGCAGAAGTCCTAGTCCCGATAGCCCCAGCCCCCATATGAACTTGCACAGGCCTGAGGGGCTCAGGTCCTACAGCCGGATGTCCTTAGTGTTCTCACCACCAGCTGGTGTCGACTCTGTCCGCCTAGAGTCCTCACTGGTGGTCGATACCTCTCTGGTCCTCTTGATGTCAGTCCTGTCCGACCTGCGCAGGCCCACTCTGCGGCGAGCTGGGGCCACCGGAGTGGGGTTGGTGGGCGGCTTGGCATCTCGGGCAAAGCGCACGAGCCTCTGCCCGGCCAGGAAGTAGAGCACAGGGTCCAGGCAACTGTTGGCACTGGCAAGCGGCCGAGTGATCTTGTAGGCCATGTTGACCGCATTGAGAGTGTGGCAGCTGAGGTCCAGCGAGCGGAAGGAGTAGTAGAGAGTGCGTGTGACGTGGAAGGGCAGGAAGCAGAGCGCAAAGACGGCCAGCACCACCGCGATGGTGCGCACCGACTTGCGCTTGGCCCGCGGCAGGCCTCCCGACGTCCCGTAGGCCGGCTTCAGCAGCCGCCGAGCCATGAGCACGTAGCACACCAGGATGGTGGCGAAGGGCATGGCGAAGAGCAGCCCCAGCATCACGGAGCTGTAGGCCACGAACTGGCCGAAGAGCTCGGGCGCGGACGTATCGTGGCAGGTGATGCGGCCCCCGCGCGCGCTGGTGGTGACGAAGTAGAGCACGGGGGACTGGCAGGCCAGCACCAGCACCCACACGGCGGCCGCCACTCGGCGGGCGTAGCGCGCGTGGCCCCAGCGCAGCGAGCGCAGCGGCCGCAGGACCCCCAGGCAGCGGTGCAGGCTGATGCACGTGAGGAAGAGGATGCTGCAGTACAGGTTGGTGTAGAAGAGGAAGCGCACGAGCTTGCACAGCACCGTGCTGAAGGGCCAGTGGTCGCCGCGCGCGTAGTAGTAGACCAGCAGTGGCAGGGAGGCGGCGTAGAGCGCATCGCACACGGCCAGGTGGAACATGTACGTGGTGGACGCGTTCCAGGTCTTGAGGCGGCAGAGGAAGATGTAGAGAGCCGCGGCGTTCAGACACAGCCCCAGCACACACACCACGCCATAGGACACGGGCAGCAGCACGTACTTGAATTCCTCATTGAAACGGCACTTGTAGCCCAGCTCAGCCCCTTCCCAAGAGTTATTGGCCGTGCCGTTCCAGCGTCCCAGGGCTGTGGCCATCGCCCTGAGAGGGAGGGGGATGGCAGGGGTTGGGGGGTGGGGGGAGAAGAGCCGTCAGTGTCACGACTGGGGCTGGGGTGGGGAGCCTGACACACCCACCGGATGGGGGCCATGAAGGACCCCGCGCACCCACAGAGCCCTTTGGTTCAGATCTGCCCAACCAGGTTCCAGGCCTTTGTAGCCTTCTGACCTGACTCTCTCCCCGACCCAGACGGCCCAGAACCATGGAACCCTAGAACGTGGAGAATGCGTGAGCTCCTTGAGTAGCAGGGCCACATACCTCTAAAACTTCAGGACAGGGATAGGCAAACTACATCCGGAGGGCCAGAGGCAGCTTACCAGTCTGGTTCTGAAAACAAAACAAAACAGAACAAAACAACTTGACTGGAACACAGTCATCCCCACCTATTTATGAAGAGCTGAATGGTTGTGACAAAGATCGTATGTTCCTGAAAGCCTAAAATAACTACCACCTGGCCTTAAAAAAAAAGTTTGGCCACCCCACTCTAGAACCTCAGGAGCATAGAGTTCTAAATCGAGGACCCTGAGCTCTAGAATCTGAGAAGCTGGGGGTTCCACCGCAGTGTCATCTCAGATTCACAGAAAGGGGTCTCTAAGGATGGCTGGCTCCGCCCACACCCAGTGCCCACTGCCTGCTTCTGGCCAGTCCCTATCTTCCTGGAAGCATTAGAAAGTTCTTTCCTTTAGGGGCGCCTGGGTGGCTCAGTCAGTTAAGCCTCTGCCTTTGGCTCAGGTCATGATCCCAGGGTCCTGGGATCAAGCCCCACATGAAGCAGCTCCCTGCTCATCAGGGAGTCTGCTTCTCCCTCTAACCCTCCCCCCTGCTTATGAACTCTCTCTCTCTAATACATAAAATCTTAAAAAAAAAAAAAAAACCATAGACAGTTTCTTACTATAAAATAAAAGAGTCTAAAATACAGATCATTAAAATAAATTGGCCAAGGTCACATAGCTAGGGATGCCTGCATTTCCTATCCAGGTCCACCCCACAATGGAAGGGTCATAGGAAGGAGGCAGTGAACTCCCTGTTTGGGGGGTAAGAGGCTCTTCTAGCAGAGTCTGCGGAAAGGCTTGTGTCCTGTGTGTGGGTGTGTCTGGGAGGACAGAGAGGGGAGAGGACATGTGAGTTCTCCCTATCTTAGGAATCTGGGGCTGTACAATTCCCTTCCTTTTGGAACCTGAGGTCCTGAGAGGCTGGGACTTCAGGATTCTGTAGGGCCGGTAACACCCACTCTCTTAGGCCATGAGCTTCCTGCCCAGCCTAGAAACAATAGTTCAGGCCCCCTGAGGCTGAGATTAGGAGGCTGAAAGACACATAGGTCCCTCAGTTTCCCTTCTCTGCCCATGCCCCACACCCCTCATCCCAGAATCTTATGTGTCTCCTGTTGTCAGCAAATGTGCAAACAGGAAGAAAGGAGTGTGTACCTCCCAGAGACACAGGTTCCTTCTCGAGGAGGCAGGGCTGACCCAGGGTGAAGGAGACAGGGAGGTTATGTGGTGCCAAACTGAGTGGGGGCAGCACCCCCCTCCCCAGGGGGAACTCTGGCTAGGGCTGGCCTGCTGGGACCCCTCTGGCCCAGAGCCAGGACTCAGGACCTGGCATCAAAGCATTTCCTGTATTCCATCCCGGCTCCACACTGCCCATGCTGCCTTCACCCTCCCTGCCTCTCTAGCCTCAGTTCCCCCCAATCCAGAGGAGTCTTTGTAAAGACAAAGTCATTCCTTTGCTTGAAACCCTCTGTGGCTCTTGCCTATTCTCAGGAGAGAACCCTGCTCCTCGCTCTGGTACAGTGGCCTTCTCCTGAATCTTTAGGAAGCTCTCTCAGGTCACCAGCGGAGGAGAGACAGGTCTTCATTGAAGGCTGTGCAACAGGGGGTTGTGGTCAGCCAGAGGAGTGATGTTAAGGCCCAGGCTGGGGGCAGGCCTCGGGATGCTGAGAGGGGAGAAACTAGCCCAGAGGGAGTTTGGGGAGGGTAGGGGCGGGAAAGGGAGGCTGGTGGGATGCCTGGCTCAGGGGTGGGGAGGAGGAGCAGGTATGTGGAGAGAGGCACTCCTTGTCAGATATGACCATGCTGAGGTCTGGCCAGTCTCTCCTCTGGGTCAGGGCCCTCTCCCCCACCCCCCACCCCACCCACCCCACCCACCCCAAGCTACAGTATCTCTACACAAAAGTTTTCTGGCTAATCACTAAAGGTGGAATTTCTGATGCTAGTGAGATGGGTGGGGACTTCCCTAAGTCAATCATGAACCAAGGAAACTGCCCTTTCCACCTGTTTTAAGATATCCTGGCCTCCACCCACTCAGGCCAGCTGGGGACTCCATTGCCATGGCCTTCATCCAGAATGAACCTGCCTGCCCTGTCCCTCCACTGGCTGGCCCCCCAGCTCCTGCTTATGAAGATAACCAAATCCCCAGCCCTCTCCCTTGGCCCTCTGCTCTGCGTCTCCTTACCCCCAATGCCCTCGGGGTCTCACCCCCAGCTCCCATCTAACTTTGTCCAACACCACTTGCCAGTCCCTCTGTGCCCGGTTCTGGCTGGTCCTGCCTTGTAAGTGCCCTGCCAGGCTTCCCTACCTTTGCTTACGCTGTTCTTTCTGCCTGGAAAGCCCTCCCAGAACCCACTTGCACTGTACCCCATCCTGCTCACCCCTCCAGGCTCTTCTCAAATGTCACCTCGTCTCTGAAGCTCTGCCCCTCCACCACCCTGACGTTCCTCACACCCTGTTGGCAATCTGTCCTTCCACCCTCTACCCCCCAACACATTCCAGGTGCTCCTAGAGGGCTGCATCCATCTGATTCTTTTCTCTGTCCCAATCACCCAGGAAGAGGCCTGATCCAGAGCAGGTATGACACGAATGAGAGAAAGAGAGAATGAATGAATGAAGCAAGCACAAAAGGATACAGGGGTCCAGGGGATGCTGAGCTTTATTTTCTTTTTAAAGATTTTATTTATTTATTTGACAGAGAGAGATCACAAGTAGGCAGAGAGGCAGGCAGAGAGAGAGGAGGAAGCAGGCCCCCCGCTGAGCAGAGAGCCTGATGTGGGTCTCAATCCCAGGACCCTAGGATCATGACCTGAGCTGAAGGCAGAGGCTTTAACCCACTGAGCCACCCAGGCACCCCGAGGCTGAGCTTTATGACAGTGGCTCTTCTTTCCCTTATCCCTCTGAGGGCCTCCCAGAGTGGCCCTGACACAGATTTCTCAGTTGCCTACCCTAGCTGCCCTCCTGGGGAACATTCCTGGGGACCGGTCCACCCGAGGCCTATTCCTCCTCCTGCCCTAGGCAGGCACCTGGACTGCTTCTCAATTTCAAGAGGCCTGCCATTCTCCGGCCAGGCCAGGGAAATGCCAGGGGGAGGGGAACTGGACCCAGGCATCCTGGAGGTGCGTCAGCTGTCTGAGCCAAACACATTCTTTCATCTTGCTCATCCCTGGTTCAGGTCATGGGGTCAGCCTGGATCAGGAGTTCCCAGTCCTGGTGCCCCCTTACCCGCAACCCCTCATTTTGTAGGGGCAGAGCCTGGGCTGAACAGCTTCAATGCAGCATCTTCATTTCACCACCCCCCCACTTACTCCTCAGCAGATACTGCCACAGTGGTTGAGCTACTCGTTCAAGGTCACACTGCTAGGAATGGGAGAAAATGGGCTTCATACCAGGGCTCTCTGACTCTGAAACCTGAACTCATCACAGCCTGGGATGAGGGAGCAGAGTAGGGTCCCCCTCAACTGAACCCTGCTCAGCATATACACGTGCACGAGTGAAGCTGCACGGGCCTCCCAGCCAGGGAGGCCCTCCCAGCCTCCCAGCACGCCCATACCTGACCAGCACCTGCTCTCCATCGGGATGCTCAGCGCCTGCTCAGGTTTCTCATTCATGAATGCACAAGCCTGGACCAGGACGCAGGGGATTCTTCGGGAAACAGGAAAAACAGGTCCCAAGGCCTGGGACTGCACCCAGCTTCTAGCATTTCTCAGGGCAGGCCATGCTGTGGGCTCTGTGGAAGTGGAGACAGCAGGTGCTCTTGGGTTGCTGGTTGCAGGAAGTCACCTGGGCAGAGCCCTCCCAGGCCCACTTCTGATGCTCTAACCTCAGTCCAGAAGAGGCAGGCTCTGGTGTACTTGTCCCAGTAGGAGTGCCCGCTGCCCACCCACACCCCTAGCCATCTACCCTTGGCTCACGTGGTGCAGAGATGGTTGCTCCCAGTACCCCCCCCCCCCCCCCCCCCCCCCTCCCCCGGGGCGCGGTCGGGCCGGGGGAGGGTTCCCCCGTCCCCCCCCCCCCCCCCGGCAGCCCCTTTCACAGGAGTGTGGCTCTGCTGGGGAAAGTCTTCCTTTCACAACCTGCAGGGCTGAGCACCATCTCCAATGTACTGCCCCCCACCCCCATCCTGGTCTGTGTTTCAGTCCCTACAGTTGCCTGGTATACACTCAACAGTACTCATGCCAACACAGATTTGTTCAAGCTAGGCCTCTTCTGGAATCCTCCTCCTCCCTGTCCCACCTGTAATCATTCCTCCATAGGTGTTATAAACACACATGAACACACATGGACATAGCCAGATACCCAGACACTTACACAGTCACATTCAGATGTCTACACAGCACGAGCACACACATGCACGCATGCCCACATGGTGTCCTAGACAGGGCCTGGAAGAGCCTTTAGAAATCACCTGCACCAGGGTCGCCTGGGGGCTCAGTGGGTTAAGCCTCTGCCTTCAGCTCAGCTCATGATCTCAGGGTTGTGGGATGGAGCCCTGCGCCTGCTTCCCCCTCTCCCTCTCTCTTCCTGTCTCTCTGCCTACTTGTGATCTCTCTGTCAAATAAATAAGTAAAATCTTAAAAAAAAAAAAAAAAAGAAAGAAAGAAAGAAATCACCTGCACCAAACTCCCATTTGACAGAGGAGGAAACTGAGGCCCTGACACCAGACCTCACCATACTCCAGGGACAGAGCCAAGACGAGCACAGGCCTCCCGGATTCTGGCCCTCGTTCTTATCTCTTGTCTTGTCTGCGAGACCCTTGCACACAACAGGCACAAGGTTTCACTGATGGGGTGGCTGGTTCCCTGGGGGAGGGACCCCTCCGGATGTGCAAGTCCCAGCATCCGCCAGAACCTCAGGCTCATCAGCGGAGAGAAGGACATCTCCTTCATTCTTCCATCTGCTCCATTTCCCTACAACGGGGGGCATTGGGTGCTGGTCTGAGACAGCTAAAGCCAGGTCTCCAGGCTGGAAGCAAAGTGCAAGGGGGGCGGGTGGTGCCAATGTGGGAAGAAGAGAGGAGGAGACAGCCGGTGCAGGAACAGGGCAGGAGGGGTGGTGCGG